CTTTGTTGAATAGTTTACTATGGCATAAAATCCTTCTCGATCTTGTTTGGATAGTGCATTATTCACCAAAATTTATTTGTTTATATTATCAACGTATTTTTCAATCATCTTTTTAGGTTTTATGCAGTTCAGACCATGTATTTTTATGTTTCCATTGTACTTTCCACAGCTCGAAATGGAAGATGGGGATGTAATTCATGTGCTGCTGCAACAGCTTCGATTTTCTTCAAAGGCGGAAGCATTTTCTGTTAGAAAGAAAATTTCGAAACAATTTGAATCTGTAAACGTTTTTATCTCAAGCTTTGAGGATGAAGAGAGAAACTTAGCTGGATGACAAAGTCAGTAATCTCATGGCTCATTATGATCAGCTCAATTGAGCATCTGATCGAAATGACGTAAAGAGAAGATTCAGCCACACCTAAGCCAAGTTACATGGTGAATGTCACTTAAATCTATAGATGTTTTTATCTCAAGCTTTGAAGTGGAGTACAGACCAATTTTTTTGTTTCCTTTCCCCATAGCAATAGAGAGGTGGGATTTAAGAAACAGGAAGGGAAAAAAAGCAGTGAAAGTTAGGAGTTTTGAAATGTCAACGTTAAACATTAGATAAAAGTCTCATTGATGTGGAGAATAGACGTTTTGTTAATTTAGGAAAGAAATCAATTCACGGCTAAATATGATTAAAAATAAATGAGCATCTGAATCACGTAAGATATGCTCCAGACACCTAGGCCAAATTACATGGTAAATGGCTTGATATTGCAAGAAAATGTTTCTTCTATGCTTATTTGGTTCATGTGGATGGCCATTCATTTGGTTTTGCTGAATAACAATGAGTCGAGTAGTGAATGAAATTGTTGTGATTCCACATGTTCAAGACAAATACAGCTAGTATCTAAGAATTATATATTTGGAACTGGGAAGTATAAGCAGAGGGAACTGGGAAGTGGGTAGTTTTCTTAAATTGGTAAATTGAAAAGTTTTTGACAAAAATTTTTAGGAAAAAACCTTAAGAATTGATGTAAAATAGGGTCCGAGGCAGTAGTAATTAAAGAGATTTGGACGAGAAAATGATTTATTTTTCTTTATTTTAACCATTCAAATTTGTTACCACCATAATTCAAGCAGAAGGAATCTCACAAGGCAAAACATTTCGTTCCAATACGAGCGTCGTCATTGGCACTCTATTTTTCGTTAGTGGTACCTAATTTCCTTTGCACTTTTCCTCAAAACTGCATAAAAGAAATGTCATTCAAAGAAAAAAGTGAATTGTCAATACTTTTTTCATAAACACAGAAAAAATGCAATACAATTAATGAAAAAAAAGGAAAAATCGTTCAAAACTTCCATTATGTTTCGTCAAACGAAATTTTCCATGTTTCACTTTTGAAAATATTACTTCGCTTGCAAAATAAGTTAGTAAAATTTAATCCCAATTTAAATTTTTGACCACTTTTTGCCCTTAGTATTTTCGCAATAGCTTGGTGTTATTTCAAAGAAATCGTCACAGATGTATTATGCTATGCTACAGTGGTATAGTAGCTTCCCCTTTTCAGGAGAGCGTTAAAATATTGAAAATTTTAGGTCAATTTAGATAGTTGAAGGTTTAGAAACAATAATGTCGAACTCTCTGGAGGTTGTTGAGTTTTCAAATTTGCTATTATGTACCATCTGCTATGGTACAGGGCAGTATGGCATAGATCTTAATATATCATGTGTACAAATATGAAGATGGTTATATATAACACTAGATTGTTTTTAGGCATAGATGAGAAGGTTTGAAAGCCACTCCTTCAAATAGGTGGAAAAAAAAAGTGTTAAATCCATCCCATGTAAGATGCTGATAGAATGCTGGTGAATTATGCTTTTCCTTGGGGAGTGATAATATACTGATTGCGGCTTTGGTACAAATAGGAAGAAAAAGAAGAAATTATAGGAAAAGGAAATACTTGCAAGAAAGAGAAGATGCAGTCAAACGAGAAATCAGGTAATGATGGTAATCCTGTGATTGATATGATTTTGCTGCAAGAAGCAAGATAAAATGATAGCTCAACGATTTGCTTTGCTAGACTTTCATAATTAGCTACTGTTAATCTAGATATAATGGGATTTGGTTCGTCTAATTCCACTTTGCATGCAGCTTAATCCATTTTTCAGTCTTTTCCCTTGTTTTTGTTTTGGTAATTCAAACTCTCTTTCACATTCTTTACAAATTAATCATTTTTTTAGTCTTTTTCCTTTTTTTGCTTTGAGCACCTGGTATCTCTACATTTAGGGAGACTAATTCAAATTCGATTTGGGGAGCGTTCGTAGAGTTTGACTCTTATTCGACAGTGAAAGCTGGCCCTGAATTTTTTAGTCTTTTTCCTTGTGTTTTATATTGGTAATTCAAGATCTATATTCACATTCTTTACTGAAAAGAAAAAAAATAAGAAGAAGAAAAGAAGAATAGAGAGAAACAAAAAGTCTTTGACATTGAAGAAAAGTCAACCTTTCTTAATTTCTGATTATTTATGTTTGGCCCTTACTTTCCAATGTCATCATCACAATCTTTGAGAATATTATTACACCCAAAGTATCAATTAGTAAAGTTCCATGAGCGCCTCCTCCTGTCTCTAATTGGCTGGATGGATGTGTCTTGTGGGTCTCGCTTAGATTACCTTCAGGTCGGTTAGCTGCTAACTCATGCGTGTCTGTTTGTATTATTGTATGTGTGTGTCTTATTTCGTTTCGGAAAAAAAAAAATAAAATCAATTAGTAAAGTCTTATCATAATTTATTATTTAATTAGAATATCACTTTGACCATCACGTTCCTTGACATTGGAATACATAACACACGGCTCATAGAGACTAGAGAGGAAAGAAATAGCAGAGAGAGAGAGAGAGAATGAACTGTTTCTGTTTTTTTTCTCTTGCCCCATAAACCTATTAAATATTGGAGATCATTAATGAACTCCGGCGGGGTAGCCACCAATAAAGTGCTTCATCTTAGGGTCTGTTTGGTTGGAAGTAAAATGTTTTCCTTGGAAAAATATTTTCCGTGGAAGTAATTTTTCATGAAAATCATTTCCCTTTCATTATTTTCAGGTGTTTGGTTAGTTTATTGAAAATATTTTCTTACTTCATTTTTCTGGTGTTTGTTTAACTTTTGAAATATTTTCACTTTTATCTCTATCTTTACTTTCTACACATTATAACTACATACTTCTTCCCATGCAAAATAAGAAAATTTATCTCATTGTTTAACTTTAAAAAATCTTGGAGAAATGTATATATGAATAAAAAATATCTCCTTAAGCAATAAACAAATTGCTGGCCATTTAGTGTCAAATATCAATCACATGCAATGCTTATTGTGACATATATCTTGCACTCTTCACTGCTGAAAGTTTCTCTAGAAAAGAATGTCCCTATTATACATAATTAATTACTAGCATAGGATGAGCAGGATGAGGTTTTTTTTATTTTGAATATACTAGGGGGAGGGTTGGGTGGTACGGGGGAGGGAGTGTAAAGAAGAGGTTTTGGGTTCGAATCCTCCTGTTTACACTAAAAAAAAAAAAAAGAACATACTACAAGATGTTTTCAATAAGTTTGGAACATACTACAGGCGGGATGCATGCATTTCGGAAAACAACTTCAGTAAGTTTGGAAGGGAAGTTGTTTTCCATAAGATGAGTGAAAATATTTTACATAGGAAAATGTTTTCAGTAACTTGTGTGCACCCAAACACGGGAAATTAGGAAAATATTTTCCTGGAAAACATTTTCACCCGAAACAAACGGACCCTTAATGTACATTTATTTACTTGTGGCCAATTGCTTATGAATTTGTTGTAATATTGAAAACTTGCAGCTCTATTTGTCTTGGAAAATATAAACCAGTATTAGTTTAGCGTATACATTTTATAAACTGGTATTGTTCTATTACCTGTCCAATTGTTCTTTAGTAAAATGTAACCTTTTAGCAGTGTGGTACCTTTATAGGATGTCGTAATTCATCATAAACAACTTGTATAACTCTTTGGAGGAGGAATGGATTGAATGGTTCAGAGAAAAGGAAATAGTGTAAATAAGAGATCTTGAATTTGAGTCCTTTCACTTGTACTTAAAAAAAAAAAAAAGAACATGTACAACCCTTTAACAACAATGTAAAAACCTATTACTATTTATAAGGGAAAATCATGTCCTTTATCTCAAACTTATGTGGTGTTATACAAACAATAACTTTATTTGAAATTTTACTTTGTCAAAAAATTTTTTACTTTGTCTACAAAATCTTTACCGTTGAAAGTTAGGATGATGGTTTTGACAACTTTCCATGCCTTTGTCCCCTTAAATTTTCCAATGTTTGGAGCTATAATTCATGCTATTGATCTCAGTCAAAGGCAATATTAATTCATGTGTTTACATTTGAGGGGTCTAATGTATTGTGTATAATCTAATTAAAAGGGTTATTATTGTCATAAACACACTATACAAATGGACTTAGAAAAGATTCAACTTGCTAATTGATTTTTTTTTCCCCTTTCCCTTCTCCTAGTCCCTTTCTATCCTGACCATTAGAATTAGGTTCGAACCCTAATTTGTCAGATAAAACATAACGCCTCAAACCAACAGTCCCAACAACTATTGGTTAACTTGCCAATTGACTTACAAAAGATTCACTTCAAAATTTCACCAAAAACTTTAGAATATCTCCGACCTGGCATCACAAATTTATATCCATTATTCAGAAAAATATACGCTGATTTAGATCAATTCCATGGAATTAGCCAATGTCGATGCAATAAAATTTGGGAAAGCGCAAAAGGCACAAAAGCGGCGCCTCCACAACTCCGGAAGCAATGGCCGAGATTAGCGGAAAGTTGTGTGGATTGCATATCAACTTGACACGTGTCAGCCATCCATGGCACCCCTGTTCATATAGGCCCCACATCGACAAAAATTCTTTCACCTTTCACGGGAATTAGAAAACCTAAAGAATTCCCAGTGTGAACATATTTTACGTAGCTTTTCAGAAGATCCCATTCTTACCATTCCTATTTTATTCTTTTTCCCATATTTTCTCCTTCCATCTCAACCTCAATCTTCGAAAACCTTTAAAACCCTCTTCTCTCCAATAACCATTTTTCTTGCTCTATATTGTCCACTTCCGTATCCAGTTGCTGCTCCATCTTGCACTAAAAGCAATATGGTTTGTACCTTATATTAATTCTTGCATCATTATGTTTGTAGAACTATATATGTGTGAATTTCACTTAATTTTTTGATCTTTGTATTTGATTTTTGAAGGTTGGATGTGCGGTAAGATTGAAGAAGAGAAAGCCAGAGTGGCTGAATACTTTGTTGGACAGCAAATTTTTTGGTTCATGTGCTGCTCACCATGATCTTAGGAAGAATGAAAAGAACATTTTTTGTATTGATTGTAATCTTGGCTTGTGCAAGCACTGTATGTCTTCTTCTTCTCCTCATTGCCTTCACCAATGGTTTCAAATCTGCAAATATGTCTATCATGATGTTGTTCGCCTGCAAGACATTCAGAAGCATCTTGATTGCTCCAAAATTCAAGTGAGTATTGTTGAATTATTAGCTCATCTGGAAACTATAATTTGTTGGTCCCTTTTTTTTTCGATGTTATTTGGTGGGATAATGGTTTCTTGATCATTAGATTAGTTCACCTGGTTTTACGGTTATCTGGTTATCTACCTCCATACAATTCAACCTTATCTTGATAACCTTATCTTAATTTACTAATTTTTGTTTTAGGGTAGTTATTAATGCTTCATTAAAAGCTTTAGCTTGATTATCATTCCATCACAAGGCCGTGATCTAATCTGTTTAGCAAGAGGGATTTTGTTATGAGAACTGAACCATAAACTTCATGAAAATTGAATTTGATTCAAGTTCTTGACAATTTGAATTTATTTTATCTTCTTTTGGATTCGATTGGATTTATTGTATCTTGTATTTCAATTCAAATGCTTTAGTCTAAATTACATTATGTATTTATCAAATTGCCATGTACTAATGTAGCATTTCTTCACAGACTTACAAAATTAATGGAGAAAAAGCAATACATTTGAATCCAAGGCCTCAAACTAAAGACATCAAAATTCAGAAATCAAAGGGTGGCGCCACATGTGATGCTTGTGGAAGGCATATACAAGACTTGCCTAACAACTTTTGTTCCATTGCATGCAAAGTAATTATTAGTCCCCCAATTCAATATCTGTTTTTTTTTTTCCCAAAAGGGTTCTTGTTAATTTTTTTCTTCTTTTCAAACATGAAAGTGTGATCAATTTTTAAAAGTAATTTGCAGGTGTCTATGGTTAAGGAAATGTCTAAAGAAAAGAACTGTAGAAAGACTCCAATTTCCGGATTTGATAATACGTGTTTGAAGGAGAATGAAGATGAGGATCAATCCATTTCTTTATCAGAGTCTTCTGAGGTAATTCAAGAAGGGTGGATTTCTATGCTAAAACCAAAGAAGAAATTGCACAAGAGGAAAGGTGTACCTCACCGGGCTCCCCTATGTTAAATCTTCTAGTGAATAAATTTTAATACTTCTTCTTTTTTTTTTTTTATCTAATTGTATTTTTTTTCTCATAATAATTCTTATAAATTCAATAAATTATTAATCAATTGATAGACAAATCATTCTCAAGCTGCCCCATATATACTTGGATTTTAGTTGGGTTAGTTGGAATGTCATCCCAGCTTGACTTGCTATAGCAATTTCTAGTGGTGCAAGCTCCAGTGGGCTTGACTCTTTCGGTGGCATTAGATTTTTTTTGTACCATCTACTTAGATGATGCTTTTTTTGGGATGTCCATAAAGTTGTTCTGATAAGTTACCTGTCAAGTCTAAAATTCAAACTCATGGATACAAAATTTCTTTAACTGTCGTTTTTTCAACTAACTTTCTATAATTTTAAATATTTTCTCATCTCACAATAATTATTTTAAAAAATATTTTAAATAATACTCTATCCAAACGCACTGATTGGCCTGTGGCCAGATGAAGCTCATCAGGTGCTTGTTGAATATTCATAGTGAAAGGTTAGATCAAGAATCATAACAATGCAAACAAATGCTCGAGTTTACTATCATAGAAACAAACAAAGTTGCTTTTCTTAATTTCTATGATACGTGGCACTGTAACTTTGAGAACATTTGACAAAGCAAAGCACCAAATTCCTGTCAACATTGAACAGAAGGCTTATTTATAATATCATTGATGATTGATTGATTTCAAATTGAATGAAACGTGGTTTCTTTTTCCCTCTTTCCTTTCCCTTTTTCTTTCTTTCTTTCTTTTCTTTTTTTTTTTCCTGTTGTGCAGTCACAACTCACAAGGTGACAGCTTTGTCTTTGGTCGTTGTCGGGGTGGTGAGGGCGTCTGGTTTTGTCTGTTTTCAGATAAATGTTCAAATAGGGCCCAAAAAAAAAATACCATTTGCATTGGGCAAACAAGCTTTTTTTCTTTAGCTTTCACATGAGATTGTGGCAGACAAAAAGGCCGTAGCATAATATGGGGGAGTCTGGTTTGTGGAGGATGGCCAAATCAAGGGAATGTGACTAGCACATTTTTCCATGGCTTCTTCACATGGATAACTACAATTTTTCTACTTCATGTATCTGAAAATGGGAAGCATGTTGGTTAAGTATACTCAACATAGGCATGTGACATAGGTACTAGAAAACTTTCATTTGTAAAATAAAGTATATCGCAATGAAGATATTCAGTTGTTGTTGTTGACTTCTTGTTGTTCTTGCTGTTGTTAGTGTTTTTTCCCCCCGTTTGGTGCAAGGAAAAGGTATAAAAGGAGAGAAGATTCTCTCATGTCGAGGGAAGGACGTGCTTTCGGTGCATTTGAAGCGAGTTACCATGGATCTTATGAATAACACGTATCAACAACAAGAGCCCGGTGAAGTGAGACTTGAATTCGAAACTTTTGTAGGTAAAATGAATGAATGAGGTTACCGTTCTTTTTCTTTTTCCTCGCAACGATAACATTTATTCTACTCCTACACTATCGAAGAGATACTCTTACCCTGACATATACTATGGGAGAGGAGGAATCTAAAGAAACTTGTATAGAGAATGGAGGGTGAATCACCAGACAAGTGCATTATTGTATTCTCTGAATTATTTTAGTAAGGAAGCACTATACTTCCTTGTGATGTACTAGGCAGAGTTTGTATCTCGACTTAATGCACTGGAGAGTTTTATGGAGGCTCTTCATAGCCATTGGACTAAGACTCAATGGTTAAATGAATGAGATTACCCTATTGGCAACGTATTCAATGATTGTGAAAAGTAGGGTTGACAAGCCATGATTTGTATATTATATCAAACTAGAATTTTAACTTAGAATCTGTGCTTGCTAAATCATATGGAACAGGATATGTCAAAATTGATAAATTAAAAAAGTGATAAATTAGAAGGCCTTAAACGTCCATGGTAGAAGACGTAGGTGTCTACTCCATCTTAGTTCAAACGGACATATGGTACATATGCTTAATAACTTCTGATTAAATAGTACTTGAAAAGGAATTACATAATCTTAAAATGATAAGACAAAGTAAAAAGAAAATCTATTAGAAATAATGTTACTTTTCAGAAATTTGCTTCGGTGGTAAAATTCTAGTATTTATAACAAATATACAGTAATATCACTTCAATTGAGTGATTTATGCTTTCAGCATGCAGATTTCATATTTTAATTTTCGATAGTATCAAATGAAAATTAGTTCTACTAGGTCTATATTGTCCAAAGCCTAGGCCCTGAACATCAAGTCTAACTGAAGAATGTTCCATGCAGAGGCCTCCACTAAGATGGGCTTCCCTGCCTATTAAATCCATTTTGACCTGCCCAGAGTCTAAACATACTTGATCTTTATGGCTCATAAATCTTGCGCACAACATGATTTGGGTTTGCTCACCTAGCCTAAATGCTCTAAAATATTTGTCTGATAGCCTCTTATTTTGTTTATTTCAGTATATATACTATCATCATTATTAGATGCATAACAATTAATATAAATTTAAATTTAAATTTTAAATTTTATATATGTATTATGCATTCAATCGTAATAATATATGTATCGTAGAAAACATAAGAAAAAGAGTAACTTATAAGAACAAGAAAAACAATAAGATCGCAACTACAAGGTCGGTACGTTACCACCCTAGCTGCGCTTTCCACCTCGGGGGAGAAGAGGAACATCAATTACTAGCCCAAGGGCCTTAAGGATGAATAGCTTCAATAAGATGCATGCATCACATGCCTCGTGCAATCAAATGCTTCAATAGATTGTAAGAGGAAGGAAGAGTGTCGTTCGGATCTCTCCCCAAGAGTCCCTCAAGCGCTAGGGGTTTAGGTTACACTTGAATGTATGTAAGATTAACTTCTAAAGTATTCATTTTCTATATGCATTTTAGCTAAAAGAAACGATTGCATCTTAACATTTGAATATCTACCTACTTAAGAAGAGGTTCTGGCAGAAAAAAAGGAAAAAAAACTTTTCTTTCTTTCACTTCTTTTTTTTTTTGGCATAGAGAAGACTCATGTATGATGTAATCTTTGATAGCATCCAACTTGTCCACAATGGCACTTGAATCCAATCATTGAGCACCGGAAACTCTGGAGACTCGACAACATGCCATGTCCATCATTTTCCTTGGTACAATCAGACCATTTTTTTAACTCCCACCTACCGGAAACATACACAAACAACAACCAGATGCCTACACATTTTGCCTTCTCTTTCGTATCAGCAGTCACAAAACGGCACTTTTGCAGATATATATGACACGCAGTCAAGGTCTGAACTCTAAAGTAATATGCACTTAAATGATGCATACAAAAAATCTAGACTTAATTATCATTTATCCCTTACTATGTGGCTTATGGATAAGAAGCCAAATTAAATATTAGAATCCACATTTTGTTTTTTCCCTTTTCAGCTTAGTGCTGGCAAACCTTGTTATTACTTGATTGGTCTTTGAGTAGTATTCCATAGGGTTCACGACTTTAAGGGCTTATTCTCCACTAATTTGTAGAAACCTGTTTTGACCTTTGGTTTTGGAAAAATGTGTCAAGTGATGATGCTTTTTATCGCGTTTCTCTTTCAGCAGGAGTTACAAAAGACTTGCATTTTAGATCCTGATTTTGAGCTCTCTGGAATCAGCTTTTGTAAAAATCAGAATCAATTGAGAAACATGCGATTTAGGATCCAAGAGGGCATTGAAACCTCAACCATTCCCTGCTTTATGTGTTCAAAAAACTGATAAAATTCGAGGACAGACAAAAGCACCAACCAGTTGATTCTCTAGCTATAGAAGGGCCCTTTTGTGGCCACTAGATCATGCTTTGACTAAATAGTAGGGACTGAAGCACTTGCTACCAATTATGTGTTACAATCCATTACCCAAATGTTTTCACTTTGCTAAATCATTGGCAATACATGCTCAAAAGAATAGCAAAAGATCTTCACTTTTAGGATTCTAGAACCTCAATCTTTCTTTTATAATCCAGATTAATTGATTCGAATATCAAAGGCAGAACAATTTGGCTAAAAACCAAAGGGAAACTCACGGGAGCAATAGCTTAGCCCCACTCCTAATAAAGAAATAAAAGAAAATCTAGGAAAACAATCACCATAAGTTTTATATTGGCCAGAAATTGGAGTGTGAAGTGGATCAAACATTATTAATTTTGTCATAATTCAAATATGATTTTTTATTCTCTTATGTCTCACTTTCTATGCCAATCTCTATTCTATTTTCTATATCGTCCTCATGTATAATTTTATTTGTATCGCTATTGGTACCATTTTGTCAAACATTTCCACGTATCAGGTGCTGTTTAAATACAGGGTGCATGATAAGGATTGACACATGTAGTGTAATGGAGGATCAGAAAACCATCAAATACAAGACAAAGGTTTCTGTCTTGTCTAATTGGTTATGTATAGTTGCTAGCCTTGTATAAATAAATCCCCCTTGATGTTTATGTCAAACCAGATCAAATACAATATGAAGTTATCCTACCTTAAACTTGGGCTTCTATTCTCCATATTGCTTTCATTTTCTTGTTCAACATTCTCTCAATCCACAGCAGCAGCAAGAATCAACTTTGCACTAGATGCAGATGGCCATCAACTCCAATCAGGCACAAAATACTACATATATCCAAGCCAGGGTGGGAATGGAGGAGGGCTAGCCTTATCAGCTAAAGATTTCGCGTGCCCGTTTTATGTCATGCAAGAAAATCTTGAAGCCTCAAATGGTGTTCCGCTAAGATTATTGCCTGTGGACAACAGACAGCAGAGCATAAGTTTGTCTACTGATCTCAATATTGCCTTCAATGCAGCAACCATTTGTGTGCAATCAACCGCCTGGAAACTCGGACCCATCGATGAAAATTCGGGGCGGAGATATGTGATGAGCAATGGTGTAATTGGCCGTCCCGGAGCTGATACTTTGAGCAGTTGGTTCAAAATAGAGAGAGATGGAAGTGGGAATGGATACAAGATTGTGTATTGTCCTGGAGTTTGTGGCTCCTGCAAGGTTGGGTGTGGAGACATTGGTGTGTTTATTGAAAATGGGAAAAAATGGCTTGGTTTGAGTGATGATCCATTTGTTTTTGTATTCAAGAAAGCCTAGGTGTGAATCATGAAGAATTTCATAGTCTTGTGGTTAATGAATTCGGCTTCTTTGTTGTGTTATATTTCAGAAGAAACACTGGACAATCTACAGAAATTTCAGTTGTTATTACTTGTTATAAGCATATTAGGTTCATCTGTTTACCATCAAAAGACAAACTTCATGGTTTAATTGTATTTGATCAGAAAATGTTTGAGAACGTTGTGAAGAAAAGTTGTACAATTGACTGAGAATGGATGAATTTGCTGGATTTAGGATTTTAGCTAACTGAAAACTGATAAACTCTTTCCTGCACTAATTGCACCGTGTAAGCTTGGACAGATTCATGTACAATTAAGATGCGCAATGGAATTCATAATTTTAATTTTGCCTAAAAATCAAGAGTGGTTATGTTAATTCTCACGTAGCTATTCTGTTTTTATAATAGCCTATAGAAAAAGGTGCAACCAAAAACTAAATTTTATCTCCCTAAGTGCTAAAATAATCCTGAGAATATGAAACTTTTTTCAGTGCATTAGTATTGAATTTTAAATTTCAATTCATGTTATATGACATAATCTAAATCTACTAGTGTAAAAAAAATTATATATTGATTGTGTATAAAAAAGTTATCTATAAAGAAATGAGGTTTGGAGACCAAATACATGATAAAAGGATAGCAGTTCATCTCATTACAAGCCAAGAATTCTGCCTTCAAAAAGGCTTGGATATCTGTTAAAATTACCAACTTTAATTGTATGCTTTTTTTTTCATTTTTCATTTTTTTGACTAGTTAATCAACTCCTTCAGCCTTTGGTATGTTAAAATCCACCGTCAATTTAGTTCAAAAGACAAAAACGTCGATAATTTTACTCTTTCAAAGCAGCAAAAAGGCCTAAAATACCAATTTACTTCACAAACTAAAAAAGATTACTCATTAATTTAGCCCTAGCGTAGAAATGGCCAAATTTGTTCCTAAACTTCTTATTAATGTCGATTTAATTCTTAACTTTTGTTTTCGGCCAATTTGATCGCTAAACTTATGTTATGGTTCCAATTAAAGAACTCTACAGCGCCACCACCATGGAAAATCGATCAAGCTCCTCATTGACTAATTAAATACAGGTATTTTAGAAATTTTAGATATCTCCTCCCACTATCATCAATCCCCACCGCCTGCCACCCACCTCCTCCTTCTACTCCTAACCTTATTCTCCTACCTCTCTATTCCCTCCCTCTATCATGTCAGTGATCTTTGTTGCAGCCCACTAACCACTCCTTGAGCAGCCCAAAACACAATCTTTCTTACATTGAAGAAGCTTCCTTTCGCAAAAGAGATAGCAGTAAAAGCTTCTCCCTTTCTTTATTCTACACAGTTGCAGCTAGGTATATAATCAAGCTAAGTCGAGCTCGAGTATGGCAGGTATGTAATCGAGCCGAGTCAAGCTCGAGCATTGCCATACTCGAGCTTGACTCGACCTATAAATAACTTGGCTCGAGCTCGACACGAGCTCGATCGAGTTGAAAAATCTCAAACTCGAGCTTGACTCGAGGAAATCTTTAAAAGCTCGAGACTCGACTCGATAAGGCTCGACCTTTAGTCAAGCCTTATCGAGTCGAGTAATTAACCTTTTTGACTCGATACTTTACTTGTAAATTCAGTATAAATTATACCCATAACGGTCATTTTATAATTATAATACATATATATTATTTAAATTAAATGGCTCGTCGAGCCACGAGCTGCAAAATTCTGACTCGAACTCGACTCGAATGTGTACTCGAGTAGCTCGAGACTCGGTTCGAACTCGGTTTGACCGAGTTCAAGCCAAGCCATTGATCAAGGCTCGGCTCGCGTACATCTCTAGTTGCAGCCATGCCAAGTTCAAAGCAGGAATCAAAGGATTGTCCCAAGTGGCCATCAAAATGACTTTTGTTGTGGTGGACGATAAGTGTTAGGCGAAGCAATGAATTCCTTGTTAGCTTCTTGAGAAATTTTGGCATTGCTGAATCTGTACACTACAAAAATAATATGGATACACTGAAATAAAGTTTTTCGTAGCTTTGGGTACGACAAGTGATGCATCAAATCATACATCCAGTAGTCCTCCAGCTGTTACATATATCATGTTGTCTTGTAATTTGATTTTGGATTTTGCCCGAATGTTCTTGCTTACTATGAACATGCTCTTTTTCTTCCATGGACGGAGGATGGAAATGAATTAAAAAAAAAACAAGAAAATAGAATTAACTCTTCATTCTCCATCTCTTTTTTTTTTTTGTCAATCGTTACAATCATACTCTATCCTAACCTAAGAGAGAGGCTCAACTAGACTTATGTGGGCCGATGGGGACTGAACCACAATCGGATCAGATGGGTGCACTATGCACTCATCTGGATTTTTTAGAGAAGCCACATATTGTGACAATTGGTGAGAGACAAGAATTAAATCTTTGACCTCCCACCCCACCAAACCTTAAGGACTTGATGGTGGTCACCAGCTCAAAGGCTGGTGGTTCTCTTCACTCTCCATCCAGTCCACCGTTTTTGTGTACGGCTCTTATATTTGATTCTGATAATATAATGCTTGCAAAACTCAAATTACTATTACTACTTGCATGTAGGGAATCATTGGATCAGATCCACCTTAATCAACAAAATCATCACTAATGATTACCAAGAAAACAACATGCTTCATCATACCTAAATCTTCACTGGATCAGATCCGACACTCACCCAACATTTGGATTTGAGGCATCACATGGGTTCGGCTCCACCCAATCCAAGGGAATCTCTTTGCATAGTTTCTGGAATATCTTGGCCCTCAAATCGCTCCCAAACTCTAACCCCTCTCCATCATTGGCTCCTTTTAGCACCCTCCTCTGTACTAGAAGTCAAACTATCGCATATTGTTCCTGATGAATCCTTAGTTGCAAAATTTATAGAGATGACTGGCATGACTGAGGGAAGGGAAAGAGAGGTGGGAGCAGAAAGAGGAGGTAGGTGGTGGAGATTGATGATGCACGGAGGACATGTCTAAAGTTCTAAGAAAACCACTATTTAATTGATCAATTAGAAGCTTGATCGATTTTTTATGATGGTGCCGCTGGAGAGACGCTTAATTGGAATCATAACACAAGTTTAGGAATCAAATTGATCTTAAGAATTAAATGGACATTAATAAAAAGTTTAGAGACGAATTTGGCTATTTACCCTTTAGCTGAAAAGCAACATCTTTTTTCTCTCGATTTTACTTTTACTTCTTAGGCTTCACACAATTACAGCACCTTCGATCTCCAAAGTATTAGGCTAATACCCCAAAACTTTGTTATATAGGAGAGTTTTAATATTTAATGATCCAGTCAGGAAATCCTGGTGCAGATGATCTCAATCACATAGTTCTGTATTAAGAACTATGCAGTTTTCATGTGAATTTTTTAAATAAAGTCTTTAAGTACAAAAATATAATCTATTTTACACAAAGAAGTACCTAAGAACTACAAATAATTTTGCATATATATATATATATATATATGATAAAATAAAAGAAAATTTAAAACACATAACCATATAACTCAGAGTACTGAAAAAAAAAAAAAAAGAAAACCAAAGAGTACTGTATAACATCATACAGGTCACCAAGCGTACTGTATAACATTCCTCGCCGGTCTAAATAAATAAATAATCAAAAAATCAATTAAGATCTGCTATAGGTAAAATAGACAAAGCATAAAACTCCACATTCCATATTGCCCGGAGTAAGATGTAATATTCCTTAAAATTGAATTGCAGACCAGTAAAACTGCCAAGCCAGTGAGTGCCAGAGATCATACAAGATGCTGAATTTGAGCCTCTAAACGCTCACATGTCTATGAGGCTCTCATTTTGTTGCCTCAGCGATTATGTTACTCAAAGAACTTGCCTGTTCTTTGGCAGTCTCCACCAAAGAATCCTGCAAAGTAATGCAACTGAAAAATTAATCTTAAAAACTCCCAAGAGATCAATCAATCAAAAACTTTTGAAGTGCAATACCTGTGCAGCTATATGACGTGCTACAGTTTTCTTGCTAGATTCTTGAAGCTCACCAGCAATCAGTAGTTCATCCAAAATGTAATAAGCCTGCTAGTCATTTTGTCACTAAATTAGAAAGCAAAGCCAATCATCTGGAGTTGCCGGTACTGAACATGTAATAATCTAAGAGAACTGAATTTCATGTAAAAAGAAGCCAAGTTTTGCTAGTGTTTCAAGGTGGTTGATATAAAATTCCAGTCTCATGCTTAGTGGTCTTAGCTCATCGTTTCTAATCCCAAATGGTTAGCTATAACAAGAAATATAATTAATAAACCTTTGTAGAATACAACAATTCAACAAAAATTAAATGTCTACCTCCTCGTTACAGAAATCTTTACACAAAAGACTAAAACCTCAACCTACTCCAATTTTCCTATTATGTAACCTAAATCTGCGGTCTTGATTCTTGATCTCTGCAACGCTAGAAAAAAGTAGAGGGGAAATAAATTTTTGCAACTTTTGCCAGAGAAAAAGTGATGGGCAGAACCTGTTTTCATCAATGCTTTTGCCTTGTGGAAAAATGATTTGCCGTGATGATCACATGTTTTCCAGGTCAGGCTGAAACTCTCAATAATTAAACTTCAGGTTCTTTTCAAGTTTTACTTGATTCTTGTATTCTTTTGGGGTGTTGTTTTCAACTGATTCGAGATATCAAGGAAGAAGTAATGTGAGGAAGCTAGTTGAACTTAATCCAGCAAGATCAAACACATGCCAAGGATCCTCCTAAGGCTGACAACTCTAGCATCAGGTCACTCAAGACAAAACTACAGCAGATCTTGTAACAAAGATAAGCCATGTCCAAAAAGAGTAGGCCACTAATGTAAGGGGAGTCGAATAGATGTGTTCACTACTGAAGCTGACAATACTCTAACAAGCTTAACTTCTAGCTCTATTAGCGTTTCAACTCAGAGTTGTCAAAGGACCATTATCTATTCCTTAGGATAAGTATCTAGTCACTAGACATACATAAATCCCATAATGCACATTGTTTACATAAAGCTGTAGCCTAATTGAGCTCTATAATTTGAGGCTATAATTGATTACATGCCAAATAACCTCTCAAATGAAATATGAAGGGTAACAAGGACTTCCAATTTAAACAATAAAGACAAAACAGCTTTTTCAAAGATAAAGTGAAGTGCAGAAATGGCAGATCAAGAAAACCAGCTAAAAGGAGAACCACATAGTTTAAAAGGAAAACCTAGAAATTGACTATTGCTTATACTGCAAGTTAAACTGATCCAGTTCCAGGGCCAAGGGTCATCATCCAAGAATTCGATTGTCACAAAGAAGATGATTACAATTAAACATAAGAACCACAGTGGCAATACATAAAAACTTTTAATTAACTGTGATAAGCTAAGTTGAAGATTAAAGAGGGAAAATTGGCCGCAAATGGCTAAGGTGGTTCTGTTGTCATACCTAGAAACCACCTAGTGATGAAATGCTAGTAAAAGTATGACAAGATATAGCTTGAGATGCATAAGATCAGACTAAAGAAGGTACCAGAGTGAAAAACTAAAACAGATCTTAGGGCAAAAAATGGTCATGTCCTGCCACCCACTTAAACTAATATCAGGCATGGATCTTCTAAGGAGTTCTGTGACTAGATATTCAACTGACTTGGCAATTCTATAGGACTTGTGAATTACCCCACAATGAAATGCATCTCGCCCCTGGGATGAATCTAAACCCAAAGATCAGACAAAGAAATAAGTTCCAGAAGCCTATTCCTCTAATTACAGTCTTACTACAGGAACATTCCAAGAGAAAACCTTCTAAAACATTGATTTCCATCCATGCCCTTGATTTTAGCTTAGATGTAGGATCATTGTTTTCTTGAAAATGCTGTTTCCCTAAGATTTGTAGAAAGATGTAGAGATTTTAGCATAAAAGAAATGTGGAATCTTAATAGCAAGATCATACCTTGTGGAAGTTGAAGATCAAATCTAGCTCACAAACCTACAAAATAAAGGAAGACACCACTAAAATCAATACACAAATCACTTAAGTCTTCCAAAATTTGCACAAAATGACTAAGGTTCAAATTGAATTTGCCTTATATCTAGGGTGCTCTTAAGTTTCAGAAGGCTCACACTTCCAAAATAACGATCTAGAATCTCAACATAATGGTGAATGATTTCAAGGATTTCCAATTCATTGTCATCCTGGTTGATGCACATGCAGAAATAAAGGCTGGCATATCTGCCAAATCAACAAGACTATATCAGAATGGTGAACCATGCAAGCATAATACGACCAAAGCACAAGACCTTATTAATAAATAACCAAGTCATGTACTTATATAGCATCATGGTTAAATATGCAAAAATCTGCTTAAAGAATGGGTGATTAAACACTACCTTCTATAAACGACCTTGAATCCCCTCCATTCCACAAAGTTACAAAGCTTGGGACCTCGAGTGAGAATTAAACCACTAAGCTCCCGGATAACCTTAGATAATTATATACAAAAGAAGAGTCATTTGATGATTAAAAATGAATGTAAGTTTAACATATCATGTTGTAGACAACTTATGATCAGCATAATAAAGCTACAATTATGTGTGTATTGAAAGCATCATATAAGAAAAATATAAGACATAATAAATTGATCTTCATGACGAGTCTCAAATATCAATAGTATCATGACCCAAGCAGAGGGATAATCTGAATAAGTAAATGCCCAAATATTCAAGCTCCAAAATGTACATAGAAACTGTAGTAGTATATAAAGGTGAACAGAGGCAGAAAACAACTGTTATGTAAAAAGTTTCGCTTCCTGTCCAGTAAAACCTATTCAAAAGATGTACCTTAGTTCTTTCCTTCTGGGGATAAGGTGAATACCACTTTGTCAACCTCACTTTTCCTTGTCGGCTAATTAGAAGCACAAAGTGAATCTGACAAATGGAAGAAGATGTAATTGATGCTCCAATGTCTCAGATAAAAGTAAGGCAAGCAAAAATACACAATTTCAGAGCTAATCAGTTGCTTTAGAAAGTATTAGAGAATAGGCAATGCAAATAATAAAAAGATAATTATAGAAAAAATTCATCCCAAGTATATGAGAGAAAATGCTTAAACAGCACCTAGAACCTGGGCTCCCCTTGATTTTAAATCTTACATGAAACCCAAAGAAAACAAGGAAGCAATGCCAAATCTTAGACCAATGACATCCACAAGTAATAAAATGATTTAAACTTTTCCTCAAAGTTAAATAATCGGAAAGGTTCAGGATTGACTTTTTCGGTTCTTAGAAATTTATCTGCCAAAAGGAAATAAGGCTAATCCACATGCACTGACACAAATTACACAACTTCAAAGAGCAGTAAAAATGATATCAACATGTGGCTGTATAGCAGAATGATAACCGACAAAAATTAGCACAAACAAATAACTGGCAAACTCATTGCACATTTTGATCTATTTCACGCATCAAAAGGATCTAAATGAACCTCAACTGAAAATTACTTTTAAATCCCTCAATCGATCTCTGAAACCAGAACTTCAAGAAAAAGTGAGCTAGGCATCGACTCATTCCAGAATCCCCTCCCATCCTTCACATCCAAATGACACCATGCTAACAAAGATCAGAACCCCCATACATCCAGTATTGCAAAACTATAGCTTGTTCAGCCTCTCGCAGGCAACTAATTAAGCAAATTTCCATCTCCTTAATCCCTAACAATTCAGAAATATCATCTTCCAGCCTTCTATGCATTTCCGAATTCAGATCTTCCCCATCCGAAATTCGCTTCGCCCCCCTTCCCCTCAGCCAAAAACAACGATCTACAATGAAATCATTGTACAGAATGTGGATGATTTAACAACTGAAACAGCATAAACAATGCAATTTCAAATCTGCAACGTCCCCTTGAATTCTACAGAAATGTGCCACATGCCCACAAAGGCAATACAAAAGAATCAAATTAAAGCAAACTAATACTATAAATTAGGGATCAATGAAGAAAATTAGGGTTTGGGTAGAGAAATTGAATTGAGTAGCAGCACTACAAATTATAACAATCAAAAGAATACAAATATTTACCATGATTTTATGGTTTTATAGAGTAGATTATTTCGTAGTAATTATGAAAATTTAGTTGCCGAAAACAGCTGATGATTCGAGCTTAGTCCGCCGAGGGCTAGTGGCGGAGGAGTTGGAGGTGGTGGTTTGTGGTGGTTAATATTAATAAACGAATAAAAGCGGAAAGTTACTCCTTGCTAGTACAATACTTTGCATCTTATACGACGTCGGAATTGTGAACACTCGGTCCCATAACTTGCTTGCCGCCAATTGTGGTAAATTTAGCTGGTAAAAAGCCATAATTGCGATTTTTAACTAGATTTGGTAAATTGAAATAGAACTTTGGGTAGTGTCGTGGTATTTCATTGATCTAGTTGGGTCTTTATACCCACTAGTTCTTAACACACAAATCTCCTTAGGCTTCCCCTTCTCTAGATTAGGATAGAGTAGATTATACAATGTATCGTTGTTGGCAAAAAAAAAAAAAAAGATTATTTTAAAGAAAAAGATAAATACACCTATTATTAATCTTGAAGTTCATGAATTCTGCATTTTTGTGGCCCAAAAATCAAAAAAGTGTTCAAGTTGTTTCTAATAGTTCATAATTTGTGATGAAGTTATGTAAATGTAGTCAATAATACATATACATTTCATAGTTCATAATTTGTGATGAAGTAATGAGGTTTTTGACCTGATTTGGTAAATTGAAACAGAATTGTTTTAAGAAAAAGTGAAATACATCTATCATTAATCTTGAAGTTCATCAATTCTAGATTTTTGTGGCCAAAAAACCAAAAAAAAAAAAAGTGTTCAAATTGTTTCTAATAGCTCATAATGTGATGAAGTCAATAATACATACATACATACATACATACAAACACATACATCCAAACATACATTTGTATGTATCTATGACACACACACACACACAATATAGAAAAGTGTTTACGAAGAAAATAAGAGCTAGAAAAACATTTAGTATGCTAATAGTTTTTTTCCCCAAAAAAGGGAAGGAGAAAAAAAAGCAAGGGAACTAATCAAGCCTATAAAGGTAACAAACAATTGCTGGATAATAATAAAATGGACATTTATATTTGATAAAGATGAACTGAAGGGATGCTAATAGTTTTGAAGTCTATTTTCTTTACTAATGAGGTGATCGCTGACCGGTGGAGTGGTGGTTCCTTACGTTTTTTGAATAGACCAGAAACGGAGAGCTACAATAGACCAGAAAAAAGAGCCTGCAACTGCAAGGCACCAGATACATACACCTTCAAGGAATAAAAAGCAGGCACTATTATCAAGCAAAACTGGGTAAGATAACATGCATGATTTACTGCTGCAACAATTTGTCTACACAGTAAATAGGAAGAGAAAGAATACAGCATCAATTAAGAAAATTGTCACAACATCATACAGCAGGGGCACTGTAAACAATAAGAGTTCTAAATCTCCCTATACCTTTCCTGTTTCAGTTACCTGTATCTGTAAAGGTCAGCCTATCCAATCATTTTGCACCTAATTTTTTTCATCAAACTAAAAAATGAATATGAAATTGAATTGCTGTTTATGAGGATTTTCTCTTTTTCTTGATTTGGCATCCGCATCATCTTCTGCCAAATTTCCAATTCAGCTCCTGATAAATATTGCAAGCTACCTTCTATATATCCTATTTCCTACGTGATACAGCTACACAATCTGAGCACAGAAAATCTGAGGGTGCATCCTCCTTATCAGCAATGCCACTGCACCTCGTATGCTGAGACACATTGCACACTTCACAAGTTGCCAATCTCTCCCCATCATCAAATTTAGCCCCACAGCAGCAGTCCACAGTCAATCTTTGAGCCCCATCTTCATATCTCAGTGTTGTTCCCAAGTCCAGCCCTGAACCCCTCACCCAAACAGGACTACTGGGCTCAATGCTATGACAAACCACCTTATTTTCATCTATTTTCTTCAGGCCTCCAATTTGACTCGCTACAAATTTGTCCATAATGCAATATGTATCCATGAATGCAGCTTGAGCAACAACTTTCAGTTCACCTATGGTACTAGAAGGATGTACAACAACTACTACAGCTGGTGATAAAGGCCTCATCAGTTCTGTCTCTAACTCATCAAAACTAGGAAGGAATAGGCATGATAGTGCAATTAATGGATCCAAATTACGTTCCTTAAAACACCATTCTTTCACAAAATACTTGGAGACCATGATAGCCTTAGTTGCCAAACTTACTCGATGAGTATCTCCGTAACCAAATAGCACACTCCTGTACAAGTACAGAGCGTCCTCAGCCACATTGCATTCCACAGTGTCATTCTGTGCATCTTTAATCAAGCCTTGAATTGGGAGTTCAACCTTTTTGGTTGGAGGATTCTTTGTTCGAGAAATGCTTTGGTTTCTAATCATGGGATTATCCATTGAATGTTCCACACAATCATTCAGCTGAGTTTCACCCAAGCACTCCCTAGCCTTGTCCTGCAACTCTCTCCATGGCATGGTATTCTCCTCATCGCTATTTTCTGTCAAAATATTGGCAGTTACCTCTGATGCATGCTCTACTCTTTCTTCAGGCCACCGGCAATCTGGTTCAGCCTCTTCAAGAACTTCTTGAATGCTAAATTCGAATCTTCTGGTAGATGAATTAACTGAACGACGAACAACATAATTGCCTATTGCAAAGCAGGTGACAGATTTGAGCACAAAATCAATCAAACCTGTATCTCCAACACATTTTCGTAGCTCTTCACGCATTTCATACCTGGAAACCCCATAATTTCCATCACAATCCCCCTTATTTTGTTTCAGCAGATTCACAATTTGCTTTAGCACATGCTCAACCCTCCTTGCTGGCCACCTACAGCTGTTAGCTATTGAAGTCACAAGTGCATCAAAACTTATTGGCTCTTCATTGTCCCTCCTCTTTAAAACATGTTGGCAACTACTTTTAACCACTTTGTTCTCTGTTTTTCCCTGTACTCGAGCTCGCCCTCCAAATCCAAGCATGAACTTCAACAAATCACTTAAGGTAATCAGCGGAATATCCACCACGCCTCTATACTTAATGATAATCTGCTTAATTCTTCTTCCTTTGCTTTTATTCTTGAAATCAGAAATAATCTTATCAAGGTTTAATGACCTCAGATACTCAACTGCCGACTCATACTTACCCTTCCTAACTCCAAAAGTTCCATGGCTAAATTTGTAGCCCCACTTACCGTACCAACTCTGCCCATATCCAACAACATACAACAATCTCAGATTTATTTCATCCCGCACTGAAACTTTCCTGCAAGCATCACCTCAATGTCTCAGATTCATCACCCACAAAAATTACTGTAAAATACACATTGAAACAACAAAAGAAACATTCTGAAACATCACCTGGTGCAAAGTGTTGAGCAAATTCGATCCCATAGGTTCATAGCATCAGTTTCACTGAGAAAATTGGATGCCGCTTCGACTCCATTGATGCAAATCAGATGTCCATACCCGTTGCAATGGATCAAACCGTACAAAATATGAGTTCGAACATCCAAGAAGTTGTCCTTCAATGGCTTTTTCCAATAATCAACTTCAGGAATAATCAGATGATACTTTCTTTTAGATACAAAATGATGACCCCATCCTACAAAGCATGATCAGAAATTCAAAAATTCAAATGTCCCTTTTCAAAATTAACCCAAACCATCAAGAAAATGAACAAGAACTCCACCAAATTCAACAAGCCAATCAAGAATATCACAATCCATCCAGAAAATTTGAAAAACAGTTAAATTAAGTAAAATCCAAGATTTTAAACAGTAAAAAAAAGAAAAAGAAAAGCGTAACAAAACTTGCCACTGAATTTGCAGTAATCGCAGAACGGGTCAAGAGATTGCTCAACGGTTTCTTCAAAGGTGTAGAAGGGAAAAACGATGCCGTTTTTTTCGTTGATCAGCAGAGTGGACCATGAAACCATACCGGGAACTGTATTATCTTCAAATTTTTCTGCAAATTCTTGAAGAAACAAACGGATATTTTCTCTAAATGGACCATAATTAAGATTTTTAAATGAGCCCATAATTGGAAAACTTTCAAATGGAAAGGGGATTTTAGGGTTTGTTCTTCTCATTCTTTTACAGGCTTCAAAAATATTATTGTTAGCCATTGCAGAAGAAAAGCAGAAAACTGCAAAACCAACTCAAGTGTCTGGTTTTTCAAATTCTTGAGAGGAAAGGAAGCTTAAAGAATCATGGGAGTGGCAGTGAAATTACAAATGTAGCCTCTTAGTGGCGGGAATTAGTGCATTCATTTGATGCAATTGGAGTGATACCAATCTTGAGGGTAATTGTGTAATTTGGTTTGTTTTTGTTTTTTGAATTTTACTTTTTAATTTTTCCAGTCACATGGTCTGAGAATCATGTTTATGGTATGAACTATGAAGTAAATTTTACTTTAGTAACTTTTTAAAATTTTTTCACTTTTTTACTGCTGAGAACCATTAATCCCTCTTTTTTGAACTATTGGAAAAGGGATAACTTTGGTTTTACCTTAGTAATTGAGTTCCCAAATTTCTCTACAAGCTTGCGTTAAAAACTTGCCTGGTTTTGACATTGGTGCATTCTTATTGAAGTCTAAAACTCAATACAACTTTTTTTTTTGGGAGAAAGGTGATTCCTAATTTACTTGCTGATGGCCATGAGTTGTATTGTACCAAAGAAATTGAAATTAAATCGACAAGATATTAAATTTGTTGCATGATTTAAGATTTTTGTCATATATTCCTTTTTTTTTTTTTTTTGCAAAATATTCTAAACCAAGTTTATGCTTAGGCTTTGGGAAGATTATCTGGAAGGAAAAATGATTTGTATTTGATTGCCAGCAATTGTGTTAATTATGTGTCATATTTGTAATTCATCAAATTTTAGACTTAGGAGGTAAGGTCTTATGGTCCATTCCATCAGGTACTCAAAATGGTGAAACAAATGATCTTATTTGGTAAAAATTAGAAAAGAAATGTTATCTTGTTTTTTTTTTAAAAGTAATTAATGAAGTTTAGCTGTTAATTAATTTGTAGGTTGATTATTATTAGCATTCTTTTGCATTTCGCAGTATATTAATGCCAAGAATTGTTTTACAACTACATGACTTCATTGAACATGGCAATTGCTATTAAAAAAACAATTAAACATGGCGACTTGTTTCAGC